GGGGCGGGGCGGGGCCGGGCGCGGGCGGGCGTGCAGCACAGGGACAAGGCGCGGAGGCGGCGCGGTGCGCGCGGGAGGCGGCCGGTTCCGGCACTGAGACTGGACAGCTTCACGGCGCGGGAGCACCGGAGCGCGGGAGGGAGGCGGGGGGCGGGGCCGCCCTGGCCCACGGGGCGCCCCTGGGCCCCGCCCCTGGGCCAGGCCCCGCCCCGCCACTCTGCGCGCGGGTGTGCGGACTCAGTGCGACCCAGCCGGCTGTGAGCAGCGAGCCGGCAGAGGTTGCAGTCAGCCCTGGCTTTGGTGCAGGTGGTTGCTGAGGCGGGAACTGAGCGATCGACTGCCCATTGCGGTCTCCCCATACCCCCAAAGTGAATGATACCCTGTATATTCAGGGCCGCCGGTGACCAGGCATCTTCAGTGTCTGCTTATTTCCCTCTGAGAAGTCAGAGGATCAAGGTTGGAGGAGGCACAGCCCATCCAGGGAGTCGCGTAAGGAGAAGCCGTCCAGGTTCCGTTTACAGACCTCTGGTCTTGGAAGCCCTGTAGTCAGTTCTGTTGCTTGACCCTTTCAGGGGAAAGCCTGCTTGGAGTTGACCTGAAGAGGAAATTCAAAAGGGGGCCTCCGGGTTCCGCTTGCCCTTGAATACAAACAGAGTTGGAGTCTTCAGCAATTAAGTGTTTGTCCTCCGTTTGCCAGGCTCTGTGTCAGATTCCAGGGTCTCCAAGAGTAATCAAACCTGGCCACAGTTGTCACATCCTGCCAGTGCAGTGGAGACCTCTAGGAAACACCTGTAACATAGCATAGCACTACAGCACCGGTGGCTTAACCAGGTGCGTGGAACACAAACAAGGGAGACTTCATGGGGACTGGCACTGAAGAAGCAATACCCGTTCCAGCCAGGGAGAAGGCCACACAGCACGCCACAGGAGGAACAGCATGGGTACAGAACTGACTGTGCATAGCATAGAGTCCATTGCTGCTGGAGCCAAGCCACTCTGGGCACACAAAGATTAAGTCTGTATGCCTCCAATGACCCACATGATCGCAGAAGGACCTGAGCACTCATCTAACCCCCACCCCCACCCCCACCTACATCACTCTAGGAGGAACTGAGTGAGGCTCAATGAATTGGAGTGCCCTTGCAGATTCCACCACAGAGAACCAGGGCTGGGCCAGTCCCCCACCTGAGAGGTGCACACCAGCACGTTTCTCAAATACAGCCATCTCTGGAGGTAACTGGGGAAGGGGAGAGGCTATAAGTGGGTGCATGGCACCTCCTCCCCTGCTCCCTGCCTTCGGCATTGGCACTACCTTGCGCATCTGGTCTGGCCCCCATCCCTTTACAGTCTTCATAGGGAGATAGTCTAGCCATCAGGAATCCCCACATTTTGCTATATTTGCTTTTAAAGCAACGAGACATTGCAGATATTGTTGAAATCTCAGTGTTCCCCCTGGTCTACCCCTAGGCCATTCTTTCCAAGGTTTAATCCACTTAAGGAAGGACTTGGTGCCTTCCAGCTCAGCACCTCTATTGGTCCAGGGATAGAGCCGCCCAGTGCATAGCCACCCCTCTCCTGACTAGTCAGGGGACCTAGACTGGTGTCCTGCCTCTGTCACATACCAGTTGTGTGACTTTGGCTATGTAGTTTGCTATCTCTGAGCCTCAATTTCTCCATCTTTAAATTGGGGCTACGAATACCGTTCTCTGTGGGCATCATTGAGGATAATAGATGAGGAAGTATGAGACAAACTGTAATATGGATACCCCCTGGCTGTTCTGCGGTGGAGAGGATAGCCTCGCTCACTCAGGAGGCAGAAGGGGAGCAACATGACCACCACGGGGAGCACCAACCCAAGGGCCCCGTAGCGCTGTGCTGCCACTTTTACCCCAATCTTGCATGGCTGAGTGGATTTCATGCTGGCTGTGAGTGACGCGGATGGATCTTTTAGTTTTCAATTAGCAAACGGCTCCCTCTTTAAACAAGCGGCACAGCAAACAGATGCACTGAGTGATTTATGACAGCGAACATCTGCGGCCAAGCGGCAGGCAGCTTACTGTGGGCCCCTGCCTCCCAGGCTGCCAGGGCCCTCTGGAGGTCATCACGAGCCTCCCCTGCCTCCGGGCAGAACTGTACCCGGCCCAAGTAGGCCAGGCAGCGTGGCCCTTTTCCTTAAAGCTTTCCTGGAAAGGGGGACACAAGAGCCTTTTTGACTTTCCCATCTATATGTCCCAGAGCCTCAGAGTCAGGAAGTTCTTTTTGATGTGCTACGTAAACCTTTATTTGTACCTCTTTATTGTTGAAAGTGGTAAGCAAATGGTTACTAACGGGTGTTAGGGGAGAAGATGGTGGTGGTTTTGTTGGCCCACGGTAATGAGGAAACAAAGGACCCAGCCGACAGAGAATGAGGAAAATCTAGAACTTTCTCCTGTGCCCCAGGAGCTACCTCTGAGGTAGAGAATGAGGCATGGCTAGAACTTAGAAGGAGAGTCCCTTACTGGTCTCTGTCAAACTCTGATGTACCCACAGACTGTCACAGCCCCTCTTCTGAAAACTATTGCACAGAAAATAAAGGAAATGCCGTCATGGGACTGGGAGGGGGGAAGGGGGTCAGGAGCAAAGCAGAATTGGAGTCACATGGGACTTCGCTCATGTCCAAACACCCAAACCTTGGGAACGTTCTGTGTATCTCTGAGCTTCAGGGTCCTCAGCTGTAAAATGGGGATAGAGATCTGTATTGCAGGGTTATCATGAAGTTTAAGTAGGAATAACAACCAATTCACACTGGGGCTTGATACATTTTCCCATTTTCTCCTCTTACAGAAAACTTCAGCTAGAGAAGCACCAGAGGAAATGCAGACACCCAGTGTTCCAATTCTAGATTTCTTAACCTATTTCACAGATGAAAACTGAGCCCTGTTTCAAGTTCCTATAATTTTTTCTTCTCTCATCCTCCCCTCTTTGGTCATGTAGATCCTAGTCCATTTGCAAATGACTCTGAGGACAATAAGGTGGCAGTCCTCTGGGTCAGAGGGGGTGTGGGGCAAAAAGAAAATAAACACATCCTTTTTATACTTTATTATTTCTCTCGAAGTGCTGAAAGCCTTAGAGAGGTGCAGAAGTCTTGGTCACTGATATTGGTGAGAGAGCCATAGTCCCATATGGTCAGGGTATCTGAGGAAGGGGTGAAGAAGGAGACAATCCTTTTATTTTCTTTATAATTTTATTTATTTATTTATTTATTTATTTATTTATTTATTTATTTATTTATTGAGAGACAGAGAGATAGAGCACAAGCAGAGAGGAGTAGAGAGAGAAACAGAGAGAGAGAGAGAGAGAGAGAGAGAGAGAGAGAGAGAGAGAGAATCCCAAGCAGGTTCCACACTCAGTGCGGAACTTGATCCCATGGGGCTTGATCCCATGACCCTGGGATGGTGACCTGAGCTGAAGTCAAGACCCAGACGCTTAACTGAATGAGCCACCCAGGCACCCCAGGAGATGACCCTTTTAAAAAGACAGGGGTTCAGGGTACTCTCTCTGACCATGGCAGGAGAGCAGAGGGAATTACTCAAGAGTGTTGACATCTGTGTGTGTATTCACCCTCAGAGGATGATCTCCTCACTTGAAGACTGTACGGGGCTTTTCCACATCCACGTAAAATGGACGCTCATAGATATTCTTTGCCTCCTCCTATTTTGGAGCAGTAAAGAATACAGGTGCAACCCTGTTTAAGAAAGCCTATTGTATATGGGGCACCCAAGTGGCTCAGTCAGTTAAGTGGCCAACTTTGGCTCAGGTCATGATCTCATGGTTCATGAGTTCGAGCCCCATGTCGGGCTCTGGGTTAACAGCCTAGAACGTGGGGCCTGCTTCAGATTCTGTGTCTCCCTCACTCTCTGCCCCTACCCCCGCTGGGTCTCTGTCTCACTCACTCGCAATCTCAAAAGTAAATAAACATTAAAAAATAATTTTAAAAAAAGCAAGCCTATTGTATAATTCTTCAGAATTACAAAACAGATAAATTAGAGTGTAAATATCCATCTTCTAAATGTATTTAATTGCTTGATGGGAAGAGGTCATAAATACACACTTATTCGTACACCCATATTCATCATAGCATTATTCACAGGGGGCAAAAGATACAGCAACCCAAGTGTCCACTGAATGGGGAATTGGATAACGAAAACGTGGCCTGGACTTACAAGCCTGGCTACAAAGTGCAGGTTTTCAGCACTTGGAGAGAAAAAGGTGGAAAAAGTGTGTGTTGATTCTCTTTTTGCCCCACCCCTCCTCTGACTCAGGAGGATTGCCACCTCATTGTTCTCAGAGGCATTGCAAATGGAGTAAGAACAACCCTGGCACAGGCTACGAGAACATGAAACTTGAGGGCATTAGGCTAAGTAAAACAACCCAGACCACTTATATCAGGTTCCTAAAGAAGTCAGAGTGGAAAAGTGG